CAGGCTGGGGGGCGGTGCCGGGGGGCGGGGCGGCGCTGAGGGGAGTCCCGGGCGGTTGCCGTGGTGCCGGAAATACAGAGCGCGGCCATCTTCTTGCCGGAAATACATGGGCGCCGCCATATTTAACCACAAATACTTAGCGGCCGCCATATTTAATCCGAAATTCCAAGTTACAGTTCCAGACTCGAGTTCCAGGTTGCAGTTCCAGGCTCAAGTTCCTGGTTATGGTTCTAGGTCAGGGTTCTAGGTCATGGTTCTAGATCAGGGTTCTAGGTCATGGTTCTAGATCAGGGTTCTAGGTTACGGTTCTAGATCAGGGTTCTAGGTTACGGTTCTAGATCAGGGTTCTAGGTTACGGTTCTAGATCAGGTTCTAGATTTCAGTTTCACTTTCGGTTTCGGTTTCACTTTCACTTTCGGTTTCGGTTTCACTTTCACTTTCGGTTTCGGTTTCACTTTCGGTTTCACTTTCACTTTCAGTTTCACTTTCGGTTTCACTTTCACTTTCACTTTCACTTTCACTTTCACTTTCACTTTCGGTTTCAGTTTCACTTTCAGTTTCACTTTCACTTTCGATTTCACTTTCACTTTCAGTTTCACTTTCGGTTTCAGTTTCACTTTCGGTTTCAGTTTCACTTTCAGTTTCACTTTCGGTTTCACTTTCACTTTCGGTTTCACTTTCACTTTCGGTTCCACTTTCACTTTCGGTTCCACTTTCACTTTCAGTTTCACTTTCGGTTTCACTTTCGGTTTCGGTTAGGGTTAGGGTTAGGGTTAGGGTTAGGGTTAGCCAGGAAAGCTTCATTGATGTGAACATCAAAAAGAAGTGTAACAACTTCACTGTATAATGCTTCAATGTACATTCATATGACATCTCAAATATTGTTATAAATCGCATGCTTGAATTAGAATTGTCCAGGCTCCACAAAGATTTCAAACTATAGAACAGACATGTGTCTATGTGCTTGTGGCACTAAAGGTGTGCAGGAGTTGTCATGATTCATTTTAAGACATTGGAACGCTTAACATGGACATTTACAAAACAATCAATTGTTTGTACACATACTGTACCACCTGTATTCACAGTATTTTAACACAACAGAATACCTGTTTCTTGCACTGCATTTTCCCTGCATCTTATTTCTGGCTTGAGAATTTCATTTATATTCAGCACTTGTGTAACTTGTGGGACATCAGAATTGAGCTGGCAGGTTGGAGGAATATCATCTGAGGCCTCATATGGCCCAGGTGAAACAATGCACGTACCTAGAATCAAAAAACATGGGCTTTACTTCATGACACTATGGAATTCACTTTGACTTATATTATTTGGTAGATTACATATACTTTAGTTCACATGGCTAGAAGAACTGAATAGATTATGGTAATTTGAAAATTTGCTGTAATCAATCACTTTTTATTGCAAATTTTACAATTATATTGTGTATACTTTCTGGCAAAAATTTTGAATACAGTTAAAGGAATACATGCTAATGTCTGGAATAGCCATAGAAAATCAACTTCTTTGATTCGTCAAGAGAGCAAACAAAACAATCACAAAATAAATTTTGTTAATTTATATTACAACTCAGCTTTAATTTTAACAGTGATACAGTGATTTTCAGATAAAATGAACAGCTAAATATGGTATTCATATATGTGGGAATGAAGAAGCAAAGAAGTCCTATATATACAAAGCTTTCATTCCAAACTCTGGACACCATTATGCTTTCACGACAAACTAAAAGCTGTCAACCTATACATTCTTGTGACACCAGGCACTAGCAGGATGTGAGCTGATTACCTCTGTTTTCCCTTTGATAACCAATATAGACTGAGTTTATGAAAGCTGTTCACTACAAAGAAAGGAATTCATGCCAGAACCATCCCTGATATTACAATGTAAATTCATTCCAAATTTTAGAAGACTTGAATATAGTAAGCTAATGAATTACCCTATTTTCCAAGGAAAAGAAGAGGAAAACACAACCTGAAACCCAAACATGAATAAGGGATCAAGTACTGAGATTTGAATGAAAAAATTCAAATGTCTCATGTATTTCAGTACAGGACATATTTTTTCAACCATTTTTTTTGCCAAGCCAGCACATTATTTATCACTGTTGGGCAATACTTAGTGATAAAAACCCATACATAAGTTCTGCATCACTATGGAAACAAGAAACTAGGTATAGTCCAAGCTTGTATGCTTCAGTGTCATGAGGCAGAAAAGATGAATTATTTCCTCTTATATCTCAATGATCTCATACAGAAATAATTTCTTTGTATATGAGGTTTCTCCTTTGCATTTACTGTCATTTTAAAAATTCAACATACTGTATACTTGCTACTTGAAAAGAGAAACACGCTCATTGCACCTTGAAATCAGTACTCTGACCACGCCAAGGAGTTTGAAGCAAAGAACTGGGCCCTTGTACTGGTTTCTGCAGGGAAATATTTAATTTTCTTCCCAGTAGCTGGTAGAGGGTTGTGTTTTGGATTTGGAACATGACCATTGCTGATAACATATTGATGTGTCATTTGCTTCCTGAGCTGTCCCTTCAGTGAGCAGATGGTGGGGGGCACAAGAAGCTGGGAGGGGACACAGCCAGGACAGCTGACCCCAGCTGACCCCAAGGATATTCCAGACCACATGGCAGTGTGCTCAACTAGGGGGGACCTGCTGGTGGTAAACAAATCATGCAAATAAAAAACAACTGTCCTTCTTGGGTTTTATTTATCTTTCTTTGATTTTTTCCTTGTCATTAAGTTTAGTATTATTAAGGTGTTCTTATCTCAACCCATACATTTTCCTGCTTTCACCCTTCTGATTCTTTCCCCCATTCCACTTCGGGGAGTGGCTGTGTGGTGCTTAGTTGCTAGCTGAGGTTAAAGCATGACAACTCTCAATACAAGCTGAAATGTCACTGCATTCATTGGAGCTCAACTAAGTGGTTTAGTCATTCTGAGAGGGAGAAAACTTTATCAGAGAGTAATTGTTATCTTAATTAGTAACAACATAAAAACCCTTACTATTGTTTTTCTTTAATTGGATAAGAAGTATAGAATCATTTTAATTCAGCCAGACCTTCAGCTGTAATGAAAATTTAAGATGGGTCTAGAGAACAAGTTTAGAGTAGTTGAGGGAACATGGGTTGTTCAGCCTGGAGAAAAGGAGGCTGAAGGGAGACTGTGTACAGAGGTAGATGTTGGTGTCTTCTCCCAGGTAACAAGCAGCAAGACAAGAGGAAAAAGCCCCAAGTTTTGCCAGAGGACATTTAGATTGGATACTAGGAACACTTTATTCATCAAAAGGGTTGTCAAGCCCTGGAACAGGCTGCCCAGTGTGGTGGTGGAGTCACCATTCCTGGTGGTATTTAAAAGCCGTGTGGGTGGGGTTCTTAGGGACATGGGTTAGTGGTGGCCTTGGCAGCGCTGGCTTAACAGCTGGACTCAAAAGACCTTAAAGATCTTTTCCAGCCTAAACATTCTGAGTCTATGAATTGCCTAGATAAGGAAATTCAAAAGCATACAGAAAGTACTAATGCCCACCAGCTGTGTAATAATCATAGAATTGATAATGAAGTAATTAAAAGTGTAATATTTTACTGTGCGTACAGTGTATTAAAGCTGTTGACTCATTATATTAACTGCATTTTAGAATTTGGAACTCATTTAGAATATTTAAGCACATTTCAGAAGCTGTTTAGAATGGAAGGAAAAAAACAATACACCAATGGCATTAAATTAGATGAATGCCAGTGAGAGCTTGAACTGCAGTTTCCTGCTGAGAATTTACCATATTCTCTCTGCAGACATTTTTTAATTAATATTTTTTCCAATTTTACCAACAAAAAATCAGAGGAATAATGACAAGGTTTGCCTACTCTTCCCTCTTGGTTTAGTGTTTCCAAAAGGAAGATACATTTTGCTACACTTACAATACTGTTAACTACCTCTCCTTCTGAAACCAGAAACGTTTTTTCAGGTATGTTCCTTAAAAGACACAAAATGAAAATTTGAATGAAATAGAAGCTGAGCTAGTCCTAGGGGTGCCTTTAAAATAAGAATGTGCCAGCTGTGCTTTTGAAATTTCTCCTCTATTATTGCAAATACCAGTGAGGAATGAAGTTCTCTCCTTGGAAAATGATGATTCAGGATTATGACGCGAGTCTGGAGACTGGTAAATTTTGACCAAATATCCTGATCTACTACAAAAAACCTGTAATTTTTCAGCTCACCACCAATAAATATTACTTTCCCAATAAACAAGGCCACATTAGGATAACTGGACCTGATCTGAGGTGTTTATTATAGTTTCATAGCTCTGTTTCATATAATATTTTGTTACAATTTTGTCTGCATTATTTAAAAAAGAAATCTTTCATCAGCTACTAACATCAAAATTAAGAAAACAAACAGCAAATGCTGCAGTTTTCAGTACTTCTCTTTCTGCTCAGATACTCTCTTCTTGGCCAATACCTGATTTCTATCAGCATAAAATACCCTCATTAAAACAAGCTCTCTACTTGGTAAATCTTGCCAGAATTTCTTCAATAAAATATTTGTAAGGAATTCAGTGTTTCAAACACAGGATATTTAACACACATATTTAATTAGTTGCCTTCAGCTCAACACTAGCAGACTTAATAAGCTGTGCTATCACTTTAATTTTTATGAAATCATGTAATCCTTCAAATTGCCAATCTGATGAATAAGAAGCTTTTGATTTTGTAACATGAACAGTTACGATTAAGACTAGATAGTAATTAAAACACACCACCTTCTCCAGTTGTATCATGCGGCTTGAATTTTAAAGTGAAGATCTTTCTTAGCTTACAGTTAGCTGAAATTATAATTCCATCCAAAGACCGGAAGAGAGCTCCTCTGAATATTTCATAGGTAAATGTTACCAAGTCAATACACATATTACACCACTAGAAAAGAGAAAGAATACTCTTTAGTAAAACCCACCTGTGAGCTGAAGCTAACACACCTTCTATACAAATAAACATGATGGCCTTGAGGAGAAATGCAGCAATTTTCATTCAACTTGCAGAACTGTACTATATTTTATATGATGACTCATGTAAAATTTAGATTAATGATTGAAATTTTAAGGGGAAAAAAAAGTAAAAACATAATGATTGTACATGCCCGATCTCCTTATAAAGTCAAGGTAGAAATATTCACTTCTAATTGCCAAGTGGAAATATTTTTGAGAAAAAATTTAGGTGCATACATTACTGTTCAGGTCTTAAATCTGAAATTTTGGAAGGAAAGTAATGCTTGTTTTGAAAACACCAAGCAATGGACTGAAAAATTCAGTATTTAATTGTAACTAATACTTCTAGTGATGAGGTTGAAAGATGGAATAATTTGTAGTAATACAATACAGGAAGCTAGCATGTGAAAATGAAAACTATGTTCTGCTGATGGAACAATCAACTTATTATATAGCCTGACTTACAACCCCTCATGCTGATAATAGCCATCAGCTTGTGTATATAGTAAGCTGAACTATCAGAGCCATGTAAAAGATCTATCTAATCACTGAAAGCAGCATGCTCCCTCCTTTAAGCAAAAGCAACGATAAAAAGGCAGATAACCATTTAAGAGAGACAGGTATGTATCAGATACACTAACCAATATAGATCTACTCTTTAAGGTTGGACAAGCATTAAGGTTATTAAAATATTTTGTCATTATAAATTACCAGAGCATCTAGACATATCTGATTCATGCTTTATTATCTAGATTAAAATACGTAACTGAAGTTCATCTTCTGCTTGAATTTACCTTGGTGTACATTAATGCACACGTTAATCCTGAAATACCTGTACTAGTCTGACAATAATTGAAATTACACTGAAGAAAAAAAATTCCATTGGATTTTGAATGAACAGCAACTTCAGGGGTATGATCTAACACATATTCATTAAAAAAAATCCAACTACTTCTTCCCAAAAAGCAGAATACTTTTCCATTTTAAGTTACCACAGTTGCTTTCACTTAACCTATCTCAAAAAAAGTTATAAATTCAAATATTCTCTCTCATGTCTGGCCTTAAATTCACAACATATTGCTTAGTATACTGTTATGTAGTTCTCTTCATGCAAATACATATTTAAAAATATTTGAAATCTAACTATTCTCATATCAAGTTTATTTTCTAAGCAGTATTTGAGACTCAGTCCTTAGATTGTTTTACAGTAACCATCAGGCTTTGTATTCTGTCAGCTATTACCATGTGTTGTGGCTGGGTATGGGAAAGGGGAACCAGGAGATAATGGTTATTTTGTTTTCATCAGTTTGACACATAGATTGTTCTCTATATGCCAGAATTTGGAAGAACCTGAAGAACGTGAAAGCAGCCATCAGCTACAGCCTACCTGCAGCTCCAGTGATTGTCATCAAAGGTCACTACAAGAGAAGGGACATGTGAGCAGTAGCACTATCATGAAGAAGTATCAGGGACACAGAGAATTTTATAGAGGCTGGATCAACAGGAGAGGTGAAGAAACACCACAAACAGCAGTAATTTTGTAAAATGAGAATGAATTCCTAATATAAGAAGGATAGAAGAGGCGTAGCACTAGGTGGTTCTGCTGCCATCTGGTAAAGGGGACATACAAAAATATCTTCAATCAGTAGGAACTGAGTTCTAAACCAAGCAATAATTTAAAAAAGTTCACAATAAACACAAAAAAAAATTCTGATTAGAAAACACGCTCAACCTCAGTCCAGGGAACATTCCCGAGGTACCTACTATTTTGCGCTTGATCATAAACAGAGGAATCTTTGCATGCAGAGGGGTTACAGACAACACCTTGTGGACCGTTGACAAATACAATCTTCTTTTAATATTGTCAAAATCAGTTATCCTACAAAAGAAAAGTCAGGAGAGAATGGAACAGATCTTTGTCAATTCAATAATCCAGTATCTTTGGGAAATCACAAAAAACTTGTTCATGTGCAGAACCTTTATGTCAGTGACAGCAAATATGGAATTTAAAAATTCTTTTACAAGATGAGTAATGAGATTTCTTTCCAATTCAAACTTTGTGGCTATATCCCTGCATATATAAAATCACTTTACATGCTAATTTCATTTCAACAGTCTATACTCTTTGCTAGATTTCCACAGCGTATTCAGAGTATGAAAGAATTCAATTTGTATGAACGGAGGGCCCAGTAGCCTTTAATAATAACATGTGTTTTGCCTCCTTAAGCTTGTGTTATCTTGGGGCCCGCTAACTAGAAAAAAAGTATTTGCTTTCTTTTCCTATAAATGCCTCTGTCACTGCATATGGATTCTTTTCGGCTTAAAGGTAAACACAATACATTGTCTGTCTGTTTTACTTCATGAGGACATATCTTCAAAGGTGAATTATAATGCAGAAGTTTATTTCTCACTATTCAGGTCATCTCACAATGATACCAAAGACACTGAATTTCAACATTTCTAATAAATTCAGACCACAGCCGTGGACACACATGCACACACACACAAAAAAAAATAGGTTTCCTTTAAACTGATAAAGAGGGTCATTTTTATGTTCTGTTCCCTTCAAGTCTTGTTAGCAGCTGCATTGGTTTTGGCTGGGACCTAGTTAAATTTCTTCAGAGTAGCTTGGAGAGTGCTACGCTTTGGGTTTGTTCTGAGAGCAGTGTTGGTATCTCAGGGACGTTTTCATTGCTGCTGGGCACTGCTTACACAGAGCCAAGGCCTTTTCTGCTCCTCACCTCATCTCACCAGCCAGAAGGCTGGGGACGTACAAGGAGCTGGGAGGGGACACAGGACAGCTGATGCCTACTGACCCTAGGGATGTTTCAGACAACACAGTGCCATGCTCAGCAGTAAGAGCTGTGGGGAAGAAGGAATGGGGAAAGCTCAGAGCTACGTTGTTTTCCCACAAAGCCATTGCATAGGATGAAGCCCTGAGCTCCTGGAGATGGCTGAACATCTGCAAGCCCATGGGAAGGAGCTAATGCCTTATTTAGATTTTGGTTGCATGTGCAGATTTTGCTCTCCCTATAAAACTGTCTTTGTCTCAATGCACAAATTTTTGCACTTTTACCCCTGTGTATTCTCTTCCCCAGGAGAGAGAGGAACTTTTGTGGCTCAGCTGCTTCCTGGGGTTAAACCACAACAGCAGCACAACCTTGACATTCTCCAACAGTCCTTCCTTACCACTCCAGAGTATAGACATTACTCTAAAGGCTGCAATCTGGAGAATATGCTTAATGTATGGAGAAACAAAGATTAATTTACCTATTATTTTTGAACAAGCCTATTTCTAACAGATGGATATTTCTTTGCAATTAACAGCCCCTCTGAGAAGATGACAAATAATTATAATAAGCAACTTTTTGTCACTACTTACTGTTGCTAAAAGTAATTACTCACAATCATTCAAAAGCTGGGTTCTACTTTAAAATAGTGAGACTACCATGTAGACTTGTGTGTTTTTTTGTTTTTTAAAAATTTATTACTGAAAATACTTTTTCATTAGCTAAGGACTACCTCTCCTATACCTGTAACTTAAATAATGGCATCACCCAAAATTTGCAGAATAACACCCTAAAACCCTAATTCATAGGTTTCCTTAGGTCAGCTTAGGAGGACATTAACTCGGGGGAAAATGACATTAGTTATTTTTTTCCTGTTTGAGAGTTTAAGCCAAGACATTACAAAATATATTGCAAGTATGTAAATATCAAAAGGTTGTACAAGTACAGGCAATAAGAATACATAAGCACCTTCTTGTTCCCCCATAGTCATTAAGACCATCATCCAAAGCAAACTGTTCACCAGCTTTCCAGAACTTGCTGATTCTTTCCTCTCCCTTGCAGATAACCTGATGTTTAACATATTCATCTTTATAACATGAATGGGCAAATAAAAACAAAGTGGAAGACTCTACTATCTGTTTCATTTTGAAAGACTAGCAGTTCATCTTATAAATCACATGCACTTGAAAAGCAGAAATCACACTACCATGCCAAGAAAAAAACATTATATACTCACTATTGCTATTGTTTGACATGAGAGATTCCAGAATTCTCTGGACATATTTTTATAAACTAATTATACCAAGTCCTTGAAAGGTGACTTCATCAGAAAACCTCCAAGTGCCTTACAGTGCTGGTACCTGGGCATGATCTTACTTTTGAAGAAGTTTAAGCAAGATGTGAAATAATTCCCTTAAGATCACCAGCAAATGAGCCACATAGCTAAGCCTTTGTCCTAGATTAAGGCATAGTTCCACCCATCACTTTACTTCTCATGTAGCCTTTGGTGAAAAACCTATGAATCTAGTTTCCAGAAACTCTTCACTCTAAATCTTGGGTGTTCAGAGGTACTAAAAAACTGGTGCACCAAAGAAGTACAAAGTATTGGAGCAATGGTTGCTTGAAGCTCCCTGGATTTCCTGGCTATGTGTAGAGCTGAGCAATTGTGCTGAGAAACCAGGCAATTGCAATAACCTGAGTACTGAGACCCAAAAATACTATCCCTGATGAACCTCAAACTGCATAATTCTCAGTAGAGAATGCTGCTTTAAATGAGGCTATAACAGAGCAGTAGGAGCCCAGAATTAAGTCATGCATACCTCCAAACAACTGGCAATAAAACCTAAGTTTGCTCTATACTACCAGTTCAATATGTTTAAATTTTATTATTTATTTCTTATATGAATAGGTTTATCTGTCTCCTTCATGAAAAAAACAAGTACCTTGGTAATAGAAAGGCTATTGGTAAATGTACACAGCTCAGTTACATTCCAAAATGTAACACTGAACACATCAAAAGACATACATTTATATCAGACTCTGTAATGTAAGTCTAAAATAAGACTTTTTATGATGATAGATGTGCCATAAGGAAGGGGCAAACCTGAGATGCATAGATATAATCACTTCTAAAGAAGTGTAATTTTTTTCTGTAAATACAGTTAAAACAATAAAAATACTTACATTCCTCAGGCAAAAGTAGGTGAAAAATTCAAAAAGGCCGATTAAGAAAAAAAGATGGCCTTAAAATTATATAAAATAATTTATTTCCCAGAAAAAGGAAGATAATTATTTAAGAGGTAGTGTAACCTTCAGACTCTTGAATTACATTGCTTATTGGAAAATGAAAATAAAAATTGGTCTGGAGAAACTCTTTTCTGAAATAAATCAAACAATGGGAGCTAGAAAATCAGATCCCTCAGTTGCAAAGTGACTCCAGAGTACTTGTGGTGAAACTCAAATTTTTTTTCCTGCTATCCAAAAGCGGAACTTATGTTCAACCTACAATAGCAAGAAACATCAGCAGCACACATCTTGATTTTCAAAGATGAATTAAAAAAATCTATATGGAAGTTCATGTATTTTTATTATGTCTGTGCTTGAGTATTTATATCTAAGGGTCAAACATGATAGAAAAGTAATGAGACCATGTTCAGAAAAATGAGGTAGTCAACAAGAAAATCAACCTCATTTATAATAATATTCCTATGATCAGCAGGTGCATAACTCTTCCAGCAATGGTCATTAACTGCATTCATTGCACACTTAACATCTACATTTGCAAACCATTTGAAAGTAAAATTACCTTCCAATTCAATTTTCAATTTTATTTTACATCTTCAAATTTGACTGACTATTTTCCTCACAATGGTAACTATAGTGAGATTGCAAGTGAATGGTAGCAACTACCCAAGAGCACAGATAGATTCATCTGCTCAGATTGCCTATTCACTTTGCTTCTGTATGGATAATAATTTATAACCATTTCTTAATGTTCAATTCAAGGCTAAAAATGAACTTAGAAAAAACAATACTGAACAGTTGAAGGGATGCTTCATTTGTCAGGATCACTTGGTCTTCAAATGAAAGTGTTTTTATAAATGATGTAACCTGGTAGTTTGCCAGACAAGAAGGCAGGTATTTCATTGATATTGCTATGCTAAGAGCAACTCCCATGCAACTTAACAGTAACAGAAATGTCTTTGTATCCTGGTCAAAGTCCAGTGAGAATTCTCTGCTAATGCTTCACTATTAGTACATTAGTATATTAGTACTTAACAACCCTAGTGCCACTTTCTCCATAAAAGGCACTGCTTACTAAACATTGGATAGTAGCATCATTATCATCATCATCATCCTAATCATCACCTCCATTTTAAAGACAGAAAACAAAAGAATAGCAATTGTCAGCTGATTTGCTATGCTTTCAGATTCTCAAGATTTCCTTATTCAGGAGCACCCTGTACTTCACTTTTATGTGCTATTAGTAAATTTGTCTTGTAGGAGATGCTACATTACTGAAGTGGCTGCCTGATGATCTGCAATCCAGACAGAGCAGTGTATCCTTTCCTCATAAGAACATGTAGTGATGTTGAAAATCAATCAAATCTCTGCAAAATAGATCTGGAAGACAGATATGTCACCCAGACCCAGAGAACAAGTTGTATTGTGTACTGGAATTTCCTGTTGATAGTTTTTTTTTTTTTTTTCTGGAGAGCATTAAAGAAAAAAATCCCACAAAATGCCCTTAAGCAGTATCCACAAAGAGGGAGTAACACAAGTGGCAGGAATCAAACATGAATCATCAAATCTGGAGGTTGGGATGGAAATCTTTCAAAAGATGGGCAGATATGAAGAAATGGTGACTCCTAACCTCTCCCTACAGGATACTGACATATTTGCCATTGATTCTCCAAATAGAGAAATGACCTTGTATTTTTGCTGACCAAGAATAACTTAGTGTGAAAGCTTAATTACTCTTACAACTCCACGTTTCACAAATTGTTCTGGAAGTGCTCACTAATATTCATAACGTATATTTTAGAAACTTCTATCAATATTTTAATATCCTTGATTTTGAAATAAGCTCATCTTTCTCTGATTTTCAAGTATTTAGTAAATGCCATTTTATGCTATGTTCCTCTGCAGCATTGCTAACTTTGCCAAATCATTTAGAAAACTGTAATTTTAGAAAATAGCTTTTAATTTTTCAGTACAAAGTACTCTAATGAGAATTAATACATAGACAGTTTAGTGCTGACTTCTATTTCAGAATCCAAAGTACCTCTAAAATGCAGTTATTTATGTCCGCTGCAAGTTATATTGGCTTTTTAGTTCATTGACTGTTATTTTTTCTGCTTTGTTATTCTTTCCATGAATTTTCTGTTCTAAAGAGACGACCCATCCTTTCATCCTTTTGAGACAAAGGAAAAGATGTTTGCATCTGCTAATGTAATAGTTCTCTTAAGTATAGCCATATTTCTCACATTTAAACCATTTATTCTAATTACTAAGAATTACTATGAAGTCTTGCCTTTAAAAAGACAAAATTAACTGTCTTGCTAAGAGAATTTACTTTATCTGGTGTATGAAAATCCTGATTAACAAACCCTACCAACCAAATGCAAACAGGATGCAGTTTACCTCATGTTACTTACATTGATCAACCAACCAAAATAGAAATAATTAGTACTTTGTTTCCATCTAAAGTTCTAGAAGATGCCATGACTAGGAGAGTTATTAAAATTTTTTTACTTTCAAATATATGAGTTAAAAACTGCTTTGTAAATTATGAAATTGTAATTTAACGTACCTGAATACTTCGAAGAATGTTTCTCTTACTTCACAAAAAAATCAAGGAACATGTCTCATGCTGCTAAATACCAGAATTTCAAATAATCTCTCAGATAAATCTATTCAATAAAGTTTGCCTTCAGTCTCTATCTAAAATCTTACAGCAATTTCAGATGTACATGACAGAATTAGCATCTATATCCTGCTTTGAATTTTAAGAGGTTGGCCTAAGTTTTGCAAGACTAACCAAGATTCATATTGTTCTGTATCTGAAAACATGCTGGGTGTTTAGGTTAACATGAATAATTTATGATACCTCTGTCAGCAAAGCTAAAATGATGACTGATTATTAGATAGCATCTGATTCACATAAATTCAACTGTTATTGTATCTGTGAATAAATTAGCTATGCCTGTAAAACCTACTATGTTGTGGTTATTAAAAATCCCAAAGTAATAAGCTTGTATTTATAGAAACAACTGCTTGAAAACGGGAAATATAGTACCAAAATATATACATTCTACTGTACTCTTCACAGGCCTTGTAATAATATTTCTTATCAGCAAGCACAACTACTTCAGGAATAAAGAAATTTTAACCCCTTTTCCCCTACAGATTCCTTCATACATAATTGCTTCAACAGAAAACTTATCAGGTATGTTCCAGAGTTTCAAACACTCACAGAGTTTGCATTAATTCAGAATATAACAAGAGCTGATGCCTTCTGGAGCTGGTGAAGGCTAGTGGCAAGCAAAGATAATTTGACTATAAACAGTGGGATAGGAACTGAGCAAACTGGTTGGTAAGTGCTTTCCCAGCTAAGCAAAGATTGAAAGGTTGAGGCAGGAAGAATCAAGAAATTAAGAGACATAGGTATCTTTAGAGTGAACAAGCAATCATCTTGTGATCCTCAGCTCATTCTGGCTGGAAATATGATCCATAAGGTGCTGTGTGATTCTAGGAAGTGACAACACAGCAGAGCCCCATGGCACACTAATACTGAGCAGCAAGTCTGGACTTGGGGCAGCAGCAGTTTTCACTGACAATGGACAGGTTTGCTCTGCAGCTTTTCATGTCAGAGCTATAAACTGTGCCACATGTGATTTACAGATGTTAACCATGCAAAGATTTAAAGAAGCTTGAAGCAGCATGAATTAGCCATCACTGAGAGAGGCAGCATGACTTTGGAGCTGCAGCAACAGATGAGTAAGTACCATGCCTGAACTGAGAAAAAATGTTTGAACAATACACAGGAAATCATACAAGACCACAAAATATTTCAGTACATAACCAGGAACTGAGTATCTCATCCTTGCTCTTATACCAGATCAGCCTACTATTTTTGTTTTTTGTGGGTGGTGGTTTTTTGTTGGTTTTTTTTAAATTTTTTTTTTTTTTGATGCTATGGTACAATTTCAAGGTCTGTTTCCTCACATCAATTGCTCTACTCATTTGCTGTAAAACTTTTCATTATAAGATGTGCTAATTTCATGTAATACCCAACACTGAGAAAAACCATATCTGAAACAAAGTATGACCATAACTGGCATTACAGTAAGAATAAATGTTTGAGTGCTTGTCAAAATGCCAAACAGAAGTATTAACACCCACATGTCCATGTATTGGGAACTAAAGCAAAAATGACAACACAGGCCAGATGCTGTTTTCTCTCACATGCGAATATTTTTTCAAACATTGAGTTACCATTGCTTTTCCAGCAAAGTAGCAAAATCCATAACTCTGAAGATTTAACAACTGGCTACTGCATTTGCAGCAGACAGCTATATTCAGCATTACTAATAGCTTTGCTATTATTTGCTTCAAAGAAGCTGCATAAATTACATGCTCTCTACCTTAGTTGTGATTTTATTATGCTTCATCAAATTTTTCATCCATAATCTATTTTACACATTTTTATGCAGATCAATACATTGACTGTTAATGTGGTGGTATTTATTTAATCATGCCACATAAAAAAGTATCTAAAATTCTATACAGATTTCCTCTGAAGAAAAGATAAACCAGCTAATATAGAGAGTATTTTGCACATTTCAGTATTTATGGCAGGAATCTTGCATGACTGGTTGACAGCAGCAAGTTAGGAAGTTTAGCTCAGCTGATGCCAGGAGTGATGGATGGTCTTGAAGAAATTCTTGTTTGCTGACCAAATCAATCACTGAACAGAATGCAAAAGAAGATGAGGCTCCAACTAAATTCCTGTTTCTATCTCTGCAGAATGGGAGAGCGAGAAATGTAACAGAAAGCTTCATGCACAGCTATTACAAAACTTGTCAGTGATTTTTACATAAAGTAAATTTCATAGCTTGGCATGCTATCAATTTTCACTTGAAGCTGCTCAAAGATTCAGCACTAAGTAGTCAGTTTGTGTAAGAAACCATCTTTGAACATTAAACTTCAGGAAGAAACAACACCATCAACATTCTGTCTGCAAACAAACAAGAGATTTCTTTCAAAACATCTGAAAAGATGGGAACTGAAGAGCAGTCACATGAAGCAAGAAGGACTTGTCTTTATTATTTACTGGATTATCTTAAATCTGCTAGGATAAAATAATGCATTGTCTATTGTGCAAGCCTTGAAGGACTTTATGGGTACAAGTAAGTATAGTTGATTTCAAATACAAAACTCAGTATTAAAACTATTTTAAAAGTAGTTTTATTAACTTTTTCATGCTGTTGCACTAAGTGGGGAACAATTGATATTGTACTTTTAAGAGATAAACACATTCATTCAAAGTAATTTGAGTTACAGAGAAAATCTATAGTTAATATAGTTTGTATTATATGCATTATAAAGAAATATAGTATATATTACATAAAATACATATATAGCAAATACAAAATACATGTATTTAAATCTATACAACTACCTAGGAATATTATAAAGGCATATATCTGCTTTTACAAGAGGGACATAGTAAAGATGGGAACAGGAAGTAAAAAGAAAAGATGAAGAAGATGTAAAGCCTAATATAAGCTGTTAAGAGAAAAGGCAAGTAAGTGTGGGAGAGGTGATAGAAAATGTTTTTATCAAAAAAAAAAAAAAGCAAGCAATGAGAAAAATAAAATTAGTAGAAGTAGAAAAGAGGTTCTTGTTAAGAAAGTGGCAAATACCCAAAATAATCAAACTGACCATGACACTACAGAAAAATTTGAATTCCTGCACCTGTCATTAAATCATTAAATCTTGCTCCTGCCTACAGAATGTCCATGAGAAGCAAATCTTGGTTTTGCTATGGTACTTCCTGTTTGGTCTTTGTGTGCTGCATGACATATCCTGTGTTTTTTTTTTGTCCCTTTGCCCCTTTTAATGCAAACCTACAGAAAGTCAAAAATAAAATCCTTCTTTCAATTTACATGATTTCATTGCTAATTTAACTGGTATCATTCAACCCATCTTTTCTTGCAGGGCTTCTAACGGCCTAAAATTTCTTTTGTCAATCCACTTTCAGATATTTTATGGGCTACAAAGTTGTGCTGTTTATATATAAACAGATGGTGTCACTAGGGGAGAAATGTTGTCCAAAGCCTGTCAACTACCCAAGTTTAAAACTCTATTAAATCATTTCATAACTAACTAATAAAAAAAATCTGTCTCTGCTGTATCTTTCTTCACAGTGTGGAAATAATTATACCAATCGAGCACCCATTTGTTTTTCTAGCTTTTTAGCATTTGTTTGGTTGTGTTTTTCTCCCCTAATTATTATATGTATTTCTTTTTGCTCTGGACCACAGGGTCCTCTCTTATGACTTATGAATAAATCTCTTACGAATTTTCAGGCGGTCCTCATGTGCCAGTATTTTCATATGTTTGATAAATTTGTGTCCCATTTATTCAGATTTTTCATCATCTTCATTCAGGATTTTTTTGAGTTTGTTCTGTCTTCAAAGGAATGTCAGCATTTAAAACATCTAAGAAATAATGATCTCATTAGCTTAATTACTTTTTATTGCCTTGACAAGTCACCATGCTTTAATGCAAAATATGCCACCACAATTAATGACTGCAATCAAGAATTCACTTTAAGTATTCAAGAAAATTTTATGCATCTTACAGTAACTCAGTGGAGAAGTCTTTTCCCAATGGCACAAAAATCTGAAGTGTCAGAAATTGCTGCACCAGTCCCACTAGAAACAGGGAAAAAAAAAAAAAAAGTGCTGTGTGCATGCAGATACATGTTTCACTATCCAGCATTTCAAGTTTTTACCATATGCTATGCTCCTACAACACTATTTCCCAAGGTTCATACAACATATGAACATGAGAAAAACCTGAAGAAATCCAATTTAAACTGCAATAAAAGTATTGTTTTTAAAGTCCCATCTGTGGCTTCGGTGGAATTCTCATGAAAGCAAAAGGAACCTTTTTTTAAGCTTACAATTTTTGTGCTCCAAGAGCATGAAGACAACAATATCCCATAAGAACTATAAAATGAAGTAATATTTTCCTATCAAGAATATATTATAATCATGTTAAACTTGCACTCATGTTGGTGACAAAGTACACCTTGCTAACTAACTTCAAAAAACTCTGGGGTAAGAATACAAATCAGATCATGACAACACTGCTCAGTGGAGGCTTCTGATTTTTAGAATAATAGCAAAGCAGTTTGATTGAGGGAACAAACAAAAAAATTCAGGTAGCTTCCTATCAAGGGAAAACAGTACAAAGCTGTCTGAATTGAACCATATGTTGTTTTCTTAGATATTCCATCAGGGACAGTACACGCTGCTTTTTACTGACTTCACAAGCCTGAGCAGCAACATTGGCTCCTCTTCTAAAGAATGAAAAATCAGAACTTTCTTTTTTGAGGGCCAAATGACACCTTAAAACTTCAAATTAAATTTCATATATTGAAAATTCTTCTTTTATTTTGGAAGAGTATACAAAGTTCCAGTGCAACTGGGAGACCGTACGCACACTTGATTAATTAAATATTTGAGGTACACACACCTCAAGAGGGGAAAAGACCAAGCCAGAAGGAAACAGAATGGTAACAGATGGAAACCTGACTGGAGTATTGCAGCACTAGCTAAAATAAATTTAAAACCAAACTATTTTTAGCAGTAATTACCCACACAATTAATTCTTAATCCTCATTTTAGTGTTTAGCAACAGTTAGCAATTTTTTCGTTTAATTGTTTACTGTTACGTGCTATAGTAATTTATTGTACCATTGAAAATAAATCAGTTTTGTTTCTCAAAAAACCACATTGCATTAATATTTATTTTAATGAAGATAACAGCCAATTTCTTTTATGAAAATCAGACTAAAGTTTATTTTTTTGTATGTTTATTGGAAAAAACTTATGTCTTACTGTATACCCTGCATGAGAAGTATACTAGAATATTCCCATTCAATTTGTTTAAAATCACCATCTCAATTTTTCTTCAAAAGCAAGCAGTTAATTCTAAACCAGCTCAATTCACTCCTACAAGCCTTATAAGGTACACCCCCCCATCATGGAGTTTAAGGCATATGATGATTGCTGTATTGCAGACTGCTTGGATTCTGGTTTATTGTGGTGCAATAGATATGCTGGGAAAACATTCCATACTACTCTTAAACACTGATTACATAAACACAGTGGAAATTTATTGTACATGTGCTGATTTGATACAAAAGTAAAAATTCTTTAAAAAGTAAAATGAGAAAGGGGACAGGAACCTAGCTCATATTCTTTAATGTCAGTAGAATTACTGACTTTAGTAAGTGCTGAATGGAGTCAGAGGTTATTTATCAGACATTGGTCCATAGCAGGATCAGGTACACCAGTGAATTTGGCAGCACCAGAACATGTTGGATCTTCCCTACAGCACTTAGTCTAACCTGGCATTTCTGCAAGTTTTACTTATTTACTTAACTGACCTACTAAAAAGTTAATGAAAAAACACTTTTCCTATGCTGAATTATGCCCGAACTAAGGGAGAATAATGTAAGTTTTGCATTCCAATATAAGATTGATGTAATAATCAGAACATCATCACAGACATTTAATTCTTTGATACTCACAAGTTTGTTTGGTTTCCCTTGGTAGCTTCATTTTGTTGATTAGACTATTTCCTTCAAGTACAAAAACAAAGCCTTTTAGTTCTCTGTCATATTCCTGCAAAAAGGAACAACAAAATAAGCATCCTGATAGAATTCTCCTCCTGACAACCAGCCGTGCTACTAACGAGCAAAGCTATTTTTTTTTAATCAGAAAATGCAGATGGCACTGCAAGTATGACTGGTTCACATGTGAAGGCAAAAATATAATCCACACAAATATGGATGGCAAATATATAATCCACACAAGTTCTTTATTTGTGTGTTTTATGAACAAATAATGCTGACAAACAGGACTCATGATTCAATGAGCAAAGCTCAATTCATTGGTTACTAGAGTACCAAAATTACTTTCTAAATATTTAAACTGTAAAATTACACTGTGACAAACTCAGTCAGCAAGCAGGCATATAAAAGTAATTTAAGTAGTCATTTAGTTTGCCATAATGACAGAACTGCAAGTGACAACTCCACTGTCAGGTCAAAGCCCTCATTACCTTCTAATTTTAAGCTTCATTCACATTTTTCTGGTATATACTCTAAATTTTATAGATTTCTTCAAAAACTTACTTTCGATATAGCTGATGGGTTGCCAAAAATCTTCCATTTTGTTCCTGGGTTCTTGCCTTGAGCACTGAGTATTTCAACAAACGGCCCCCCCTATAATAAAATGGTTTAAGGATATATCATCCAGTCAAATGCTCAGCACTAAATTATCAACAGTCAAGATGAAAACCTAAGAATCCCTCTGTATCATGCTGCTACTACAGTCAGCATTACTGATCAGTCAGACAGCAGAATATCAATAACAACTTCCAGACTACTATAACAATCAATTCATGTAGTCAATACTTGGCTTTATTAGAGGATCAGAAGATAAAATTGAAGAAATACCATGGAGTGTTTGAAATTATTTTATCTATAATGTCATTCTCTAAAATTATTGCAAATATTCTAAAATTATGCAAGAGATGACTAATTTCTATTTGGGTAAGATTGATTTCTACATTTTACCAAATTAAGTGAATTTTAAAACACACTGCTAAAAAATAAAAGGTGCTGCAGATTGGATGTTTTGTCTGATTTCTAATGGAAATGAAGTTTGCACCATTTGTCAACATATGTGACTGGCTCTGCCTACATATTTTGCAGTAACTTTTCTACTAGTTACCAAATTCCAGCCTGATTTTACCAAACAAAAATTTACTAACTTTCCTGGGCCAACCTAAGGGGCCTGGTAGTAGATTTGTTCTAGTCAGTATTACCATGAAAAGGGTATGGGCTACAGCCTTCATGAAGCAACAGAAGATTATTATGGATGTCCCTGTCAGGTGAAAACTCCTGACATGGAGCATGTGCCCTATTGGACATCAGGGAATCTAAACACAGGCTCCTGGGGCCGTTGGCTTTCTCACCTCTGATTAGGGAATTACTTGCTTCTAGATTTTTGCCATTTGATTTCACATTTTTTGTGACATCTGATGCACTCAGCCTACAGTTTGCTAAGCATTTTTCAGCAGCATGGTTGACCTAATCAATCATTACAACTCTGCCATTCCCTTCTCATTTCTAGTTGCCTGCACTCCCCAATTCTCTTTATGCTCAGCTGCCCAAGCAATTGCCTGCAAGTCAGAATGAGCAAGAGGGGCAAGCAAAAGAAATGCTCCTCAGATTAGTTTTTCAGAGAACATCAACTCTGCACTGT